AAAATTGTACGAAAGCACCTTCAAGGAGTTGTTCTGGGCTCCCCCGCCCTGGGAGCGCATCCAATTCGATGGTCTCCTCTCAAATTGTAGTGGCGGAAACAGGTCAAGCTAGCAAGGGCTCAGCATCAACAACATGAACTTCTGAACTCAAGGGTATGGCAAAGTTGCAGCTTGCGTTCTAAAATTCTATGCGATGCAGAAAGGATAGCAGATCAAGGGACAATCCTCAAGCTTCCACCCCATGCTCAGCGCATCGAAGAAGGCATTGTCTCCGTTCACTCCACCCCGGCCTGTCACAGCTGAGGACCGAGCTTTTGGCAGCGTAAAAACAGCAATGCTTCCCACTTGGGAACTTTCCGAAAAATCCGACGTCCCTTTCTGAGAGTAGCTGTCCCGAGGATTCATGATCATAACATTTTGGTGTATACCGGCGACCCCTGCTTTGGGGAATGCCCATCTATGTAAGAAAACAGAGACTCTAGAGCTAAGGGGCAGCTGATGGGAGTCTGAAGGAGCTTACCATCTTGCAAGTCCATGCTCAAAACTGCTCCGGTTTGAGTGAGGTTTGCCCGCTTCGCCCCTTCCCACCATAAACTCTACCTGTCATTGGGACCTGAACATGCAGCTGTCTCAAGCAAAGTGAACAGACACCCGCTCCATGCAACGGTGCACTTCACTTCCATGCCCCCCAAATCCTCAAACATCCAAAATGGCTTATTCTGGCATCTGCGGCACAATCTCGTGCAACATCACTGGGGCTCAATTTCAGAAACTACCGAACATGAACTATACCCGGCCTTCACCAACATAGAGCAGGACATCTCCGGTGTAGCTGGTCAAGCACCTGCTCAAGGACCTACACTTGGCAACTTACTTCATGTTTTGGCAGGAAGTGGTATGGGGATTTCTCTGCAAAAGGACTGCCTGGGCAACATCTGAAACCCAACAAGTTCCAGACGGGCCCAAGACTGAGAGTCCCTATCTGTGCCCATGGCCTGTAGTAGAGAACAAGATGAACTCTGCGGAGCCGCCACATCCCAAAGAATGTAAGTGCACCACAGTTTTCCACATGGGTGTGGAAATCCACATGGGTGTGGGAAAGCAGGCATAATCCCCATTCTACGCCCAGCTTTATGGCGGCCCCTCTTCCCCCCACGCTCAGATAAGGACCTGATCGCCATGGGTCCAGGCGGTGGGTAGACCAGCAGCAAAGTCCGGCCTGGACTTCTGCGCAAAGCCTCCTGCAACAAATCTGTTTCAAAACAGGGGGGCCCCGAGACTTCATCAATAGGCAGGAGTCAGAAGGGGGATTTGGGAGTGCTTCTGAAAGCCTACTCTGAATGTGAGAAGTGCTTTTATTGTTGCATTCACATCATATAACCCCTACTAATTAACCGCTGGCCAGCCTAAGAGAAAGCTCTTCGTTCCTCGGCATCTGCCTGTTGCACGTCTGCTCCGCGAACAACAAGCCTGTTGGCAGGAAGCTTGCGCTGATCCTTTCCCGCTTTTGAATATAGCAGGCCACCACAACGCTCCGCTAGTATAATGCAAATAACCACATATACATGCAGTATATTGGCTGGATCCATGCAAATGCATGTCTCATTTTCTGAATCTAGGGGAGGTGATTGCAGGGGTCTGAGTAGCTGCGTAGCTGGTACTGCGATCAGTGAGTTGAGGAGCATTCATTAAGTGGGGTTTCTCCGGAACGTGGGTTCTCCGGAACTTGGGGTTCTCCGGACTTGTACAAAGACCAGAAGCAGAAACAACTGCAGTGGAACTTGTTCCGCTTTTGCCCCTGCCTCAAACTCTATATAAACCTTGTATAGCCCATTATGGTAGTTTTCATTTTCCATTATCCCTATATAGTATCTATATTACCCTATAGTATCCTCATACTGATGCAGGGCCAGACGAGAAGTGTTTTGATCCAGACGATGCAAAGCATCAGGCTCCAGCACCTTATGAACCTCCAACCTCAAACCCCTATTAAACCCCTCAACCCTAAACCCCTCAACCCTAGACCCTAAACTTCTAAAACCCTAAACCTCTAAAACCCTAAACCCTAAACCCAGGAGCCATGCATGCACCGTCATGGTAAACCTTGTACACACCACCTGGCATCATCCAAGACCCGACCGACTTCACAAATTTGTTCCAGTCCTCTAAACACCCCTGATGTACAACGATTATGGGATGATATGTTAGCCCCTATGAAGGATTCGAGAGTCAATGTTTACGCGGGAGTTCTCAATATCTTGACACACCCACCGTGCGGGGCTCACCGGGACGCTGGGTTCTGTCCAAAGCGGCTGGGGCTCGAGTGGTCGTCGAAAGCAGTGACCTTGCGGTGAAGGAGGGGCCGTTGTTTCTTTACGTTAAATAGTCCGATTGTGGTACATTACTCTACATATATATATATATACGGAATGCTTTTCATTAAGGGGGTGATGGGTTGCTCATTGGGCGGGGCGGAGCTCTCTAGTACAGCTTCGTAAAGATGCACTTTCCCATGAGAAGTCCGGGCTGGGCCCGTCAGCAGGAATGAAGCCGTAAAATCAGCTGTCCATATCTTCGCCCCAGCTCTGATCTTTGGCTCAGACTCCAAAATCTAAAGCATTAGGGTTTAGGAGCTATGATTGAATTCCCCCACTTTTGTCTCTTTTGCTGAGCTGTGCGGCGTCCGCCCCTCGTCGGCGAAGCTCAGACTGCCATTGGCCCTCACCAGCGCCGACCTGCAACGTTGAGGTGCTGGAAGGCCAGGAAGCAATAGCAATCACAGTCACAATGTTACTTATAATACTAAAACACAGGAAGAAGAATACCAAGAATGATAATTTAATAGTAATAATGGTGATGATAGCACAGTAGGAACGGAGCCCTCTTCTGAACGCGATGCCATGAGGCAAACTGGAGTGTGTCACAACAAGACCTGCGAGACCTGTCTCAAATCCTGCCCTAAACCCTAAAGCCTCCACGAGGGGCGAGTGGCGCTCCACTAGCTGGAGGGCAGCCTGCATGCTTGGGAAGACCGAATATTGTGGACGAGGCTGAGCTTACCTCTGGATGGACCCTCGTAGTATAATATAACATCATATAGTAATATAGTATGATATTATATACGTAGTATAATACTATATAACAGTTTCCATGCTCATGTCCATTCCTTCATTCCCTGTCAACCAAAACTGAGAAAGGAGTCTAGCAGCGGGAAACCATGACCGTGCAAGCCATCAGCCTCCGTCCACTTCACATTGCCGTACTTCTGGCGCCTGTTGTCGAATCGGGTGAATGAGGAAGAAAAGGACTTACGGCTTCTCAAAAAGGTGTTCGTAACTTCTGCTACGGCGGAATTGCATCTGTGAGATCGGGAACAACTTACCTTTGCAGTGCTTTCAGAACTCCGCTCACACCCCCTAACTTCTGCAAAGCTAGGGAGTTCTTCAGTCGAGCCATCTCTTACGTCAGAGCTACTTCGAAGATCGCTCTGGGCATTTGTACAACTTATCCGCCATTGTTCGTTAAAGTTGTAGTCGCAAGCCCGAAGCGCACCTTTGCTCAACTTCCGCGCGTGTAAACGTTGGGTACATCACACCATGTGCCTTCGCAAGCAAGGTGTTTGCTATTCTTACGGTTAGTTATTCTTACCACCAATACTATGTTAATATTGTTGCAAAGCAAAAAGACATATGCCATGTGCCTTCGCAAGCACCGTTTTTGTTTTTTTCTTAGGATTCGCTAATTCTTCTTGCCACCAGTACTTTGTGAACATTGTTGCAAAGCAAAACGGCAGGCCTGGGGATCGTTTCGCAACATCGGTTTTCCCTCAAATTCCCTGCAAGAAATGCAAGTCCTTCTTGCAAGCGCCCAATAAGAAAGCGGCCAGTGAGTTTGGTGAACGCCCTTGCATGCAAAAAGCCCGCGATTTCAGGCAGCATCTAGAAAACTCACCAAGGTTTTACAATCTAGTGCAAAGCGGGAAGAATGACAAAACGTATGCCAGCGGAGTCTATGCCAGCGTAGTTCTGCACGACACCGAAAATCATGGTCTGACCTCTTTGAGGCCATAGTCCCCCTTAAGTAGATAGAATATGGGGTATATGGGGATCTCATTTTAATATACTATTTAATATACCCAAACCCATATTCTGTCTACTTAAGGGGGACTATAAACCCTAAACCCTCTGGGGACCTCCTCGACGAGTTGGGCGCGAAGTTGCAGCAGCGCTTTGGAAGAGCCACCGTCACCAGCTGCCAGAAACTGGCTTTCTCTGATGGTGAGATGGGAGTGCCACAAAATGACCCCTCAACTTCTTAGTGGAGATGCGCATAGCCCCTTTGTAACTGTTGTACATGCCAAAGGGTCCCGGTTTTGAGAAACCCCATACCGGTAGTGATAACCATGATGAGGAAACATGAATGTGTGATGAGGGTTAGTGCTGCTGGTATTGGTTAGCATTTTGCAAAATCCTGCCATCGCATGCGGGAAACCTAAAGGGCCAAATCCTCATTTCTTGGTGAAGCCGCTTATGTGCGCCAGCTTTGAGCCCAACAAAGCCCTATCCCTGGTTTGCTCGTCCTTGACCCCAACAAAGGTCACGGGCTCCTCCAGAAGTAGCCACCGGAAGCCGCAGGCCCGACATATAGGCTCTTCAAGTGAACAACAACCCAAGTACGGAGTTGCTAGATCTCTGCATGTTGCACTCCAAATTTGGGTTGACCCGTCCCAACACAGGATGTGGCAGCCTGCCGCCGCCACAGCACGCGCGCGCCTCAGGCAAGAGAACAATGAGCAGAAAGTAAGTCAGTAGGCCAACTGCTTCATCGTGACCACCAGGCAGCAAATTGTGCAGCTTTCATGCAAGGATGTCTGACTTAAATGCCCTTAGCCCTGAACCCTGTATGAACCTAAACCTTGTGATGTGCAGATCAAAGGGTTGAGCAGCATGCTGATCCGCCGAGGCCATGATGTCACGGAGCTTCTGCTCTCGCTCCTGTACTGAATCAATGAGGGAGGCTGGGGTTTGTGTGGGTGTCTGGGCAATTTCTGAAACGTCGTTGGGAGCCCTGTGCTGATGCACTGGGCCTCTGGATCCTGCAAAAACCATGGTTTTTCTTTCAGCGGGCATAATTAGTTGCAGCATGAAAGCGATGAATAGTACACGCTCCCCCCCTTAAAACCCTAACAACGCCGCATCAGAGCGCTACAGGAATCCCCCCCCACACTCCTGTCTTCGCTGCGCTGCTAAGAATCGAGACATGGATCCTTAGAGAAGTCACTACATATCCCCCCTCACAGGACTCCCTGCGCCTCGCATCCCTTTGTTACCTTCTACGGGGGGTACTAAAATGCATGACCCTACCTACCTCATACCTTGGGAATTATGGTCCTACAGACGAAAACGGTCATGCAGGATTTGGAGTATCAACACTACCCACCACCTATACCTCTGTATAAGCTGTTGCCTAGAAACACCCCAAAAACCCATTGATCATTGGTTACCCAAAATCCTAACCCTATACCCCAAGCCCCCGAAACCCTAAACCCCCTAAACCCTAAACCGCCGAAACCCTAACCCCCCTAACCCTCTGAACCCTAAACCCCCTAAGCCCCTGAATCCCCTAAGCCCCCTGAATCTAGACCCCCTAAGCCCCCTAAGCCCTATACCCTAAACCAGCAAGGCCCCTGGGGCCCAAACTCGTCTGGCTCTCAGAAGGCCCTGGTCCAGTCCCAGGAGCAACCTCATACGGTTTAGGGTTTGGGCTTCAAGGTTTAGGAAGTAAGGTTGTGCGTATAGGGTTTAGGGTTTAAGGTTCTTTTAGGGATTGAAGGCTTTTTGGCTGTTGGTAGGCATATTGGGGAGTATATTGAGATATCATGAAGGTACATAACAAGAATATTACTCCCCCAAAACTGAGAATCAATGAAAGGCCGTGGAATATTCAATGGACAGTGGGCATATAATTGCAGGGGGCGAGTCAATTAGAATAGGTGCTTTGACGGATAATGTAGACCCCTGATTAATAAACCCCCTCCTTTTAGTCGCCTTAATATTAGGATCCCTATTAAAATCCCTATGAGGGGGAAGGGGTTTATTAATCAGGGGTTTACATTACATTGTATTATAGCCTGGATGAAATCCTGCACAGACTGTTTTGTGCCCGCTCGCCGAGCCTCTGGCTGAGCTCTGTCGTCCACTTGCACCTCCTCATACTGCGAGGCTCAGTGGGGCTCAGTAAGTAGGCTTGTAATCCCAAATCTCAATATAGCAACCCTAGTTATCCGCATGCTCAACCTACGTACTTGTTAAATCCCCGTGACCATCCAAGTAGCAATGGCTGAGGGTAGGATTTATGTCACTTGGCAGAATGTTACTGTCGCCAGCTTGTTGACAAACTAAGCCGTTCCATTCCAAATTTTCCGAAGAATGATCCAGCAGCTGTCAACTGGAAGCTTACAGCGCGCTCCTAACCTGCGATGCCATCAAATGGATACGAAAATCCGAAGAAGAACCGGCAGATAAGAAGGACAGAGCCGCTGACTTCTAGAAGACCCTAGGAAGGGAAGGCATGCACAAAGCGCAATGGCGATATAAAACTGCATACCATACACGAAACAAGTGTATGGCAGCACCAATGACAAAAAATGCTGACAAAAATGTAAGACTAGAGTTGGCAATACCATCTAAAAAGAACACCTGATAGTGACACTTGCAAACATTCCCAAGGCGCTATAAGTGCGATCACGATATCACAATGATTGGGATCCTACGGTGTCCTAAACGCTTCATATGTTGCAGTGGGTGGCCTTCCATATTGCCTAGCTCGACCCGCAGGAGATCCAGAAATTCTTTGAAAAACCCGCTTGTTGCGTAATTCACTTTCATCACCCTGTTTCCTCTACAGAATGCACTTCTGATACCAATGATCCTGCATGACCCTGAGCACCTTACAACTTGGGAAGTCTCGTGCTAAACTTACCACGATGATGCGAGGTTCTAACAATTACTGCTACTATGACTTTTTCTCTCTTTAACAGTCCCTAAATCCTAAAGTCTAAACCCTGAGCCCGACACCCGAAATCCCAGACTGTTAAACCCCAGACCCTAAATCCCAAACCGTAAACCTTATAGTAGTTTCCATTTTCAGTTCCATTATCCCAATATAACCCCAATATACTATAGTAGTTTCCATTGTCCTTTCCATCAACTACTAACTGTCCTGGAAGAAGGCATCCTGCAACTCCCGTACGGCCAGACCTTGCAAATCCAAGTTGGAGAAGCCAGGTTTATGGTTGGAGTTTGGGGTTTAGGGCTTTTCAGGCTTTCGGGTTGAGGGTTTAAG